TGGGGCTGGCCCCGCCCCGCCCCGGGGCGCAGCCGCGGATCCGCGCGAGGCGGAACCCGTTTCAGTCAGTTTAGTATTTGGGAGGAGCCCTGCTGCTTAATTACCTGAAGCGCGAGGGAGCCTGCTTGCCCCAAGTAACGAGGCGGGACCGCTAGGCATTCTGCGCCAGAAGCGACCGCAGGGCCGAGGGGGAGCGCTGGGCACCCCGCACCCTTCCTGCATGTGATGGCCGTGGGGCACCCTCCGTCCCCCCAAATCCTCCCGAGCCTGGATTTAACTGCATGAAACTCCACAGCGAGCGCACGGCCCTGACTGCCCAGCCCGTCGCCAGGGCAGGCAGCGGCAGAGCTGGGCCCAGCCCTCCCTGGGCAAAGGCAGCCTGTGGAGCTTGCGCCTTGGGCGACACCACAGAGGATCCGCTACCAACTTTCCCCTGCGTACTCAGTCAGCTCCTTGCTTTTAGCGGTCACAAAGAAAGGGACCAGAAAGGGGAAAGTGAGAACTGGAAGAAAGGAAAATAAATATCAAAGTAAAAAACTTGCAAGGGTCACGCCAAACAGCTGCAGCATCTGAAGCTTCGTTTACCCTTAGCAGTCTATTGGATTTTTTGTTCATGGTGGCATGGCCTCATTATTTTAAAAGACTGCCCTTGTAACAGAAGAACAAAAGTACTTTTTATTATTAAATGCTCTTTATTTTTATCTACATCCCATTATTGCATAAAGATCACATCTTTTTAAATATAATAAAGCTATCAAAGGGATAAACCTCACCACCTTCCCTCCCTCACACCCAAACAAGGAAAAGATAAACCAACCGGTGGCTTCTGGTTTTTAGGCAGTATGTTTTAAGAACATAAGCACTTTTCTAGCTTGAACAGCAGCAGAACTGGCTGATGTGATATTTGTTAACTTGCTTACGGTTTCACATGTGCACAAATCTTCAGGAAAGCTTTTTAAAAGGCAAGTGTGCAGCAAGTCTGTGGACTTTTGCATCCTCAGTCATTTGCTGAAACATTTTATTGTGTTCAAGTTAATACAAATTACATTTTGCATGAACTTTGTGTTAACGCCACACTGGATTTCCACAAAATTTTAAAGACCCAGTTCTAGATCTTCCAGTTCCTGAAGGAGAGCATTTTCTTTCTGAATCTTCTCCAACTAGAACAAAAAAGCACAAGATGTCACAGATGTAGCTTATTATAAAATGAAACTTGCATAAATGCATACAACTTAACAGTACCTGATTCTTCTCTAGCTGTTTGCCAGCAGCTGCCTGTTCTTTCAGCTGCTCAATTGCCTTTAGTTTCTGTAAAAAAAAACAAAACAAAAAAAACCCCCACACTAAATACAACAATATTGGCGAACCAAGAATAGAAAAAAAAGTCTTATAAGTTCCTGCAATTGCGATCGCCCAAGTTACCGGAAGGCAGGTCTCAATATGGAAAGCGCATTCCATTTAAGCATCTCCAGATGCTCAGTCTGGAATTCCCCACTGATAAAAGACATTTCTTTCAAGAACAAAACCTAGAGAACAGAAGTGCTTCTTCATCTCTGAAACATAAACACCATGCATTATCTCACTGAAGGGCTAGATCCAAATTCAGAAATTACTCCTCCACTATCACTGTCCCTCTTCACCACACATTTTCTTCGGAAAGCCTGGAATATTAATCAAAGCAGAAGACCATGAAAAGCAGGAGGCAGCTGAGAGAAAAAAGCCCCTATAGATATCCAAGATCCAATAAACAAGAAGCCCATACAGCTGCTTTCTAAGCATAAACACCTTTAAGCTGTACACCCACCCCTCAGCTTTGAGGACTGGGTGCACATACTCCAGTATTCATAACAGGAGACTGGAACACTCTTCCGTACACCTGTCAGTGCTGCTACGCTGTCTAGATGCTGCTCTGATAATATCCTTAGGAGTCCTGGCAAGTGACTATCTCTACTGTTTTACAGAGGAAGTTGGTTTACAAATTCAGGAAATGACCATCTATGTAAATGCTACCCAGCTGAGCTCAAGCCACCTTACAGTCAGGCTAGATCTTACAGACCAACTCTTAGAGAAATCTGTTCATTAGAAAAAAAAAAAAAAATCCCCTCACCTTTTTTAAATTCTTTATCTTCTTGTCAACTTCAGGATCTCCTGATGTTACGGCAGGCATGGCACTCCGTGGTGCATTCTGTGAGGCTGAGGACTGTGTGGATTCCTGGTTCACATCAGCTTTGGCCTCCTGTAAATAAATAAACACATTATCTAGAAAATATGTTCAATTACAAAGGGACTGCTAAATGATATTTCTTCTGTCACTAGTTCGCTGGTGTTCTCCAAAATTTGTGACTTGCTTTGATGTACCGCATTACCTATACATACACTTTCCACAAAAAAAAGGTTATCTAAACAACTCACCTTCTGTTTCTTGTTTAATTTCTACTTCCACAAGCCACCAACCATACACAGCATAGGGAAACATCAGTAAGGATGACACAACAAACACATACACAAATCTTTTATGAAGTAGACCAGTGGGTCATTGTCTCCAAAGTAAAAGAAAGGACTCAAAACTAGTGTAAGAAATTTTAAAAAATCTCATTTAAAGAAATTATTGCTTCAGAAGTTAGTAGAAACTGGAAGGCTAATACCAAAAGCTGATTTTTATCTACCTAGCCAAAGAATAGCAAGAAAAGAGGTGACCCAGAACAACCTGTCCTTGGTCTGCCCTGGTACCACGCCTCAGCCCTGCTCTGCTGGGGGGACAAATCAAAGCAGCAAGTCCGTTCTTACCTCTCACCTAAGACTGCAACAAACTGTGCAGATTGTCTAAAGGTGAAAGGACAGAATTACTTTGTCTTAACACCGATTTCAGCTAACAATCACAGCAACTAACCAAAGCTGTTATTTTTAAGTCAACCTTCTGTACCCGCTTTAGTCCAATTAAAAAGTCTACCACCCTCCCCACAACACGTGCAAAAGGTGTGGAGGGCTCTCAGTGCAGCTAATGGTCACTGCTCTGAGACTGGTCAGTGCTCTTTGCAAACACTAATTAACACTATCCTTGAAAGAATTACTTTTGCAATACCTGTTTAGCAGCCTTCTTTGCTTCATGTTTCCTTTGATTTTTGAGAGCTGTTTTAGAGAGTGGCTTATCACCGCTTCCCGAGTGTGGTTTCATATTCTGAGGTGGCTCGTCCTCATGCTGCGGGATATGCAAAATTAACTGTTACAAAATCTGTATTCCATGTTGGCGTGTTCATACAAAACACCTAACAGTGAACCGCCAAACCTACTTAAGATGACACCATATGCAAAGATGAACCATAAAGGAAGAAGGAGGAAAAACAAAGAAAAAAAGAATGAAAAAAGCGTATGCCCTTTCTCTTTCGAGTAGCAGAAAAAGGGTTTCAAACTCATCCATTCTCAGTTTGGATGGGACTATCCCATACGTCCAAAAGATTTCATGGATTTCTGATAAAATAACAAAACCGTCATGTTTTTTATCTCAGGAGGGAAATAAAATCAAAGAGGAATAAAGCAGCACAAAATGACTGAAGCTTGGCATTTTGCTTTTGTTGACAACATTTTAACTCGGAGTCCTAATGACAAGAAAGGAAAAATGGGTTGCTGGGAGGGAAGATGGGGTGGGGTTTCTTGGGGAGGTGGGGGGTGTTAGATGGGAGGTGAAAAGGAGGGACTGTTTAGTCTTGGTTTTTTAAGGTTACTCTTAATTGAGGAGCTGGATTGTTTTAATGCATATGATGAGATTTCTTGCACATGTAAGTAAATAGAATTATTTAATTTAACACATCTTTTCTCTACTATCTCTGCTTGTTGATAACTTGCAAAATCAGACATCAGTATGATTAACAGATTCCTCACAAGCCAAGCAACAGTCTTTCCTTCAAAAGCACAAGGCTCAAAATCAAAGCTAAAACTTACACATCAAGGGTGCAATCATTAAGTGTAATTAGTTGCTACTCAGCCTACTTTGAAAACTAATTAGACAAGTAGGTTACTATACTCAAACCTGTTTAAATTGCAGCTGACTTGTTACCAATCAAATCTCTCTCTAGCAAGTAAACTTACAAAAAAAAAAAAAAAAAAAAAGCTGTTGAGAGGACAGTCAGCCAGCTGTCTAGCTGGGTTTAGACTGCTAAGTCGGCTCACCCAAATCAGAGGCTTCTATCTTGAGTACCCAATTTCGCTATAAACCCAAATTGCAGTTTATTGTTCCAGTGCATGTTGTAGAAAGAGTTGTTAGAGTTTGCAAATGACTTTGTAAAAGGAGAGTATTTAGACCAAAGAAATACCAGTTTTCCAGCATATATTCTTATAAACAGTGAGCAAAGTTTCAAAGAGGATTATCAAGAAAACCTCTCAAAACCCCCACAATACTACTGTCAGTCTGATTACTCTTCTAATGTCTCTCATTAAATACATACACATATTTGAGGCCAAGCTTCAAAGACAGACAAAGCAATGAAACAGAACAATTTTGTGCATACATGAAACTGTCTACTTACAAGCTTGGAACTTGTTACAGGTTTGTTTCTCAGGGCTGGAGGTCTGTACGCTTGAGCGGGCTTTGGCTCAGCACTGGGCAATTCACTGGGAACTGCCTGGTATTTTACTGCTTTTGCTGGGAACACTCCATCCAGGAAGGGCTGCCAGGAAACCTGCCACATTTCTTCATTTGATGGAACTTCATAGGTGTGTAACAGAGAGCCAGTGTAGTGCCATATCTTGTAACCATTACTGACTCGTAGCCTGGGAGCACACGTAGCTGTTACAATATGTTCCCCATCAGGACACCAAGCAAAGTATGTGGAATCCGAGGCTACTGGTTTGGAAATGAGTTTGTAGTTTTTAACATCCCACACTTCCATCTGTCCCCTGAGATTTCCAAATCCTGCTAGCACTAGGATGTGTCCATGGGGGCTGTAGTAGGCAGCATTGCGAGGACCGGTTCCAAAATCAAACACAGGGTCACATTTCAGATTAAAAACGGTTGCTTTGGCAGGCATAAAACCATACACAGCACAGAACTCGACAGAATTGGGGTTCCAAACAACATCATAAATAGGACCATTTTTCGCTAAAGGAAAAGGAAAACATGCAGCTGTTGTTAGGAGATTGCATCTTTTCAGTGCAAGCAAAAATAAAATCAATAGTGATTCTTAACTTCGTGCTTTGCTAAAATGCTGTGATCTAATTATTGAAAGTGAAAATTAATGCTGCTAACAACAGAGGAAGAAACAACATTTTATCTTCTGACAATTTTAGCTAAGGTTTGCAACAGTAACTTCAGCCATTCCAAATTACCTCTGTAGGGTCAGCATCAGCACTTTTAACAGTAAGCATTTTTTTTTTTTTTTTCCTTGTTATGCAAGTATGATCTCTCAGGACCTTCTCAAACTGTCCCAGTGGAAACCTGCAAAAACAGGAGTTTTATACCAGCTGGATACTAGTTCCTTTTTTTTAATCTAAGAAATATTGCATAGCTCAGCAAAATATTGTTTTAAGTTATCTTTAAACTGTGCTCACGCATGGTATTTTATAAGACAGATTTTAAAAAGGGAGCACACACAAAAAATGGTTTGACACACAATGATTAAAACTTGATATTGTTGGAAGCTATTCTGGGTATCAGAACATTAGGAGATATTGAAGAATAGTGAATTAGTGATGGAAACTCATGTAAAATATACAGGGGCAAGTAAAAACAGTAGCTCATTATAACATCTCATAATCTGGATATCTTTACCTGTATTTCAGACAAATGCAAAGTGCATTACTGGCAATTCTTAAATCCAGATGTTGACCCAAAATATCAAACTATTTAAATTGTTCATTCCTGTTGTTATTCTAAAGCCTTGTTATCTTTAGAAACTAGGCTGTGCAATCACACTGTCTGTGTGTTTTCCCCTTTAAAACCTTTTAGATGACATTAACCAGATACAACTGCAGAGACACGAGGTCTGAAAGAAAATTACATTCCTGCACATTTCATGACAGGAGGCAGCTGGAGAGATGAGGGCAGCTTTAAATGGGCTTCAACAGCTAAGGCAAATGCTGCAGCATGAGCATGTATTAGTCAAAAATGAAAAACCCTCTACAAATGCTAGTGTGAAAAAAGCTTCAAAACTGGACCTCAAAAGTAACCAGAAGATAAAAAAAACAAACACAGGAAATGAGGCACCTCTCACTCCAAGTACCCACTACTTGCTTTTGTTGGAAAAAACCAGTTTTACAGGAGACATAATTTTGATTTTTTTTCCTTGAAATGGAATAGCTAGATGAAATGAAAAGTAATGATAAGCTGTTTAATAAAGATGCATTTCAAAGGGCAAAGGTTTTAATAAGCATGTAATTAAACAACTAGTGTTCTCAATCCAGGAAAGCGCTCCCAGAGAGATTCTAGATACTGAGTTATAATCCTGATTATTTTTCCCCAGTGAAGTTAGCAACAAAGGGAAATGGGGCACAGTACTTGCTACCACAAGTTTTGCTACAGAAGGCAAGCTGCAGATGTTCTCCCAATGAGCACTAGTATTGAAGAGCATATATCCAGTCACTCTGCAGTCACATAAGCATAGCCAGCCTACATCACCCCATCCCCAGTGTTTTGAAATATTCACAACAAACTAGCCTCTCTATTATCCCAAACAAGGCAGGTGTTTAACATAAACAACAGCAACTCAAGATAGTGGAAAAATACCACTATAGGGGAAATGAACAAATGGACTTCCAGTTCAAACAACATGCTGAAATTAGGAGCATCAACTTGCTTCTCCCCAATGTGTCATTTTTATGTCTTAGAACTCTTTCCATTTTACTATAAAAAGAGGAATTCCTTTTTGAATTACTTCAAAAAAAAAAAAAAAAAAAAAAGAAAAGCTCTCACTCTGCCCCTGTTCCTGGAGTAACAGCATCAACTGCGTGTCTAAAGGTGCATGTAGGATTATTCAGCTTGGTAACATACTTTCCTGCCCATTTTGGTTTCTCAGACATTAAGCTGGTTCCATTGCCAGGTTTTTCCTTTGTAAACATGCACAATTTCCTTCCTGTACACATCAACACCCTCCCAAGCAGATTATTTGTAGATTTTAACTGAAAGTGTGTGCGCTCTGCCACTGACATTAAGACAAGAAGTATACCAAAGACAACAAGATAATTCAGCTATTAAAAAAACCAAACAGAAACCAACCCACCTTACTCCAGATTTAAAAAAAAAAAATAAAAAAAAAATCTGGTGAAGGATTTTTTGTTAAGAGTACTTTTTTTTTTTTTAAGATTACTTCATTAACTAACAAGAACCCCCCCTCATATATTAAACAAAAGCTGGTGAAACAGCAGTTCCCACTATCAAGAGCTATAATACAATGAAAAAATGCCTGGAGCTACTTACGCAATTGTACAACAGCGCTTTCTCCATTTGTTGCAATGTAGTGCAGAGTTTGCTCTCCATAGTACGAAGCACCTGTTTTATCAACTTCTGTACTAGCTATTACTAGCACAGCAGTGGCTAACAGAACAGACATACAGTTACTTCAATACAATTATTGCAAGTTATATAAATTATTTCACAAACTACCATGAACAAGGAGAAAATAATTTTATTATGAATTCTAGTTAGTTGCTTGTGTATCAGTGCTGGCATCATTTCCTTCTGAATTTAATTTTTCCTAAATGTTAATGGAACAAATATCCTCGTTTCTCAGATGAAAAGTGTAAGCCAAGTCTATTCATTCATCATTGAATTATGAGAAAGTGAACACACTTTTGTAGCCATAAAAAAAAAGATACTAATCTGACTAAGGCAGGAACCAAGCATCCTGATCAGTCCTTGAATAAAATGTTTCATCAACAGCTCTTGTATGTACCCCTATTTTACCCAAAACTGTGTGCCCACATGTGGTTTCTACATGTATGTAATACCCTCCCTGTATTCCAAATCAAGTAAAATTGTTTTTACAAAATTATTCTGAAACAGCTCATTGCTAACAAACAGGAAAGCACACAGAGGACTGCACAAGTCATCCCAAATACGATACCTCTGTGTATATACAGCTTTACAGGTTAAGAACAGTTTATGCTCTGGTATAATCTTATGTTTACAGTCTAAATACATTATCATCACAGAATGCAAAATTCAATTTGAATTTACTATTCAACTGCAAAGTTTACCAACACATAGAATATTCTCAATTACAATGTAAAAAAATCATGGAGGTCAACACAGGAAAGTTATGAGCACTTCAGGGTATTCAGAATTGTAATCGTAACATTGCATTGGCATTGATGGATTCCATAAGTATTTATCTGCACATGCAAATTAAATGCAGAACCCACACAGTAAACAAAGCAATTGAATCCAAAATGGGTGGAATATAAAAGTTTAAATATACAGCTGTTATACCTTTTTTGTTCCATAGCATTGTCACTTTGTCAGCTTTAAAGAAGCTTTTATTAGCTAGTGCAGACTGAGGGCCACCGAAGTTGGGATACTGATAGAGTCTAACGAACGATGGTGCACCTTTACTGCCCGGAACATACACAGCAACCTAAAACAAAACCATGAGATTTTATTACAGATGATATTCTTGGTAGCACAGGCTCTAGTCACTACTAGTACACTGTACTAAAATTAATATTTTATTTTTTAAGATATCCAAGAAAACAAATTGGAACCATCATCGGAAGTACCTTGGTTGGCTGTGCTCCTGGAGATAACACAAAATCATTAACCTTTTGCAAATGTAGTTTATTTGCAATAGTACCTGCAAAAAAAAAAGTCACAGATATGATGATGTTAGCCTGGATTACTTAACTATACCCTTTTTTGGGTCTGTATCATGGATAATAAAGAACGGTGTATATCAAGATAAAGGATTTCTTTTAGTAGGCAAACCACCATTACCTTCCCATTTCATCACATTTTTATTTACAAAACCAACTTGAACTAAGCCTAGATCTGAAATCCAGTATTTAGTATTTGGAAGTTAAAACAGCAAGGAAACTTCTGAACCCCATGTGAATGAACACTGCTCATGTTTTAAGCAAGGCACAGTGTTCTTCATCTTATCTGTGCTGACTTCAGAGGAAGCAGCATCAGTCATGTCCAGCTAACATGCACCATTACACAGAGCCAGGGATTCTCCCCTCACAACTGCACTGGATGATTCTTCCTGATAGGAGGCGTCCACAAAGGCCTGTTCTGTGCTGAACACTGCTCCTTTACAAAAACAGCTTACGGGAAACGCATCTTTAAAAAAGTAAACAAACAGCAGCAACCCACAACCTTATTCCAGCAAGGAAAGTCTGTGCTGAGCGGCAGACCTCGTGCTGGAACAGACATTCCATGCTTCCCTAGTGTAGCTTCATTAACATCAGTAGGGCTAGTTCTCAGGAAACTGCATCTCTCAGACTATATTTTTAGCTATCCAAATAATTCTTGCAGCAGCTTTAAAAAAATCCAACCAACCAAACAAAAAATCCCAAACAAAACCCCACCAAAACCAAAAATACAGATCACTGTTCTCCCCCCAAGAGTCTTATTCTACTCCTTTAAATTTTTGTTCTGATTAATTTTTATCTTCCTGCTTTTTTCTTCCCCTTCCCCTTTTTGACCTCTACTGACTCCAAATACTCTACCACTACTAGTAAATTTCCTTGAAAAACATGCTCTAGCTTCACAACTTCATTTTTGCCATCAATATAAATTTTCTAATGAGACATTTTTTAATAGTTCATCAACAGAACACACAACCCAAAGACGTAATGATAGATCATGTTATCTACTGACAATTTTCTGGATCTCATTAAATGAGAGACAATACAAAATCAGGCCTCTAATTGAAAATTAGATGCATTTCATACTAGATAAGTCACTGAAAAGATAAGTGACAATATAATTCATGAAAACCTAATGATTCTGAATTCCAAATTCAAATAGAATATAGGTAAAAGGAAGCAAAAGAAGACATGAGGAAAAAAGTTGAAAGTGGAAAAAAAAAACCCACCCAAAAGAAGATGCCTATATAGAATGCAATGAAACTATCTTATAGAAATACTTGCGTACTAAAGTTGTTGTTTTCAAAGAAGTGCAATTCATTGTTTACATTCCTGGCACAAATACTTTCATCATCTGCCCAGCAAGGACACCTACATTTAAAGAAAAAAAATAGAAACACTGAATGATGCTCATCTTTAGCAGTCTAGGTTTTTTCCTCCATTTTTAAAGCCAAGCAAGTTCAAACGTGACACATGTTTCAAATCGACAAATGACATCTGCATAGTAAAAAATATACAACTAGACTTAGTTATTGTCTCTCCAGCTTTCTCTGTGGTGCAAAATGATAGTGAATTTATACTAAGAAATGAACCTTATAACTACATACAAAGATACTTACAAGCACAGATACTTGCTTTCAGCTAGTAGCAGGCTATATTTTGAAAGCCAACACCACATTAAAAGCTCCATTTACCTGCATCAGATTTTGGAAAATACATTTCTTTGCAAACAATTAACATCTGGAAAAGTTATTTACCAGTTCTGCATCTTTTTCTGGATGAAAGACTTAAAACATTTTCCAGTTTTCACATCATGAAGTTGCAGGTTGGGCACCCCCGCTGTGCCATCTTTAGCAGCTGCAACAAAAACATGGATTACAGCAGTGGTCTCTGGGGATTAAGTCTGCTTCACCATGATGACATTTCATCTCATGATTCTACAAGCAAGCAAACATGCATAAACTTCTAACAAGAAGCATCCCACCCCCCGAGGGACTAAACCCAAGACTGCTTTACCTATTAACGTAAGTCTTTCAGTCTACAGAAGAGCTAACATTTGGAAGCATAGGGTTTCTACTCCCAAGACAAGGACCACCAATACTAAGACAGATTTTTTTAATGCGGGTTTTTTAATAAAAATCAGAAGTTGTCCTCTTGGCAAACAATGAAGGTATGTTCTCCATTCCTACATTTTGTTCTTGCAAGAATGCAATGCATTTTGTCCATCACACTACAGTTACAGCTTTATCTGCAAGCTATAAAAAATGGTTCTGCTGGTTGTAAACTCTCTGTACCCTTCTACTCACTCTGGATACTACAGCCTGTCTAATTCTACCAGTGATTCAAAACAGACCTCCTAACAGTCCTCTAACAGTCCACAGTGGCTATCATTTCTGTCACTTGTGGCGCCTTGTCTTATTCTACAACCTGCCCCAGATCACTTCCCGCTCACTCAGCTTATGGCCAGCTCTTTCTGTCTAAGGAAGCATTTACACCGTCCACTTTAAACATGCAACTTAGTTGACACTGAAGCTATCTAAATCAGGGACCTAAACTCCATAGAGAGACAGAGGAGAGAATGAAGCTCTCTGGACAATGAAGAACACTCAGGTCAGATACACCCAGTGGAGCACATGACTACTCTGAGACAGCTTACAATTTTCCTTGTCTATACATGAATATAAACTGCTTGAATGGCATATTATTCAAACACACTCTTTGCACTAAGATCAGTTAGCAATTTTTAGAAACACATGATTTACTTGATAGAGTAATTGTTAGTATGTGCAGTCTAATTTAGTGTTGGTAAGAACAGTCGATACCAGATGCTTTCAGAAGATGGCATCCTTCTCTCCTCCACTATGTACTTCATTACCCATATAATTTTCTGTACATTTTCTATACTGCTCATTTAGCCAATAAATATGCTACAACAACAAATCAGGTAATGGAAAGCCTGCAAACTTAATTAAAATATGCAGTTACCCCGTGTACTTTTAAAATACTCACTTGTGTAGGCCTGCCATGTTGCCAGAACATTATTCTTTGGCGAGAATTCAAGGCAAACTGCCTTTGGAAGATCAAAGGAACACAGTAACTCAGCACTGGTGACATTAACGATATTTACTCTGGAACCAAAAGATGCTATTTCAATAAAAATAAACTTGGAATAGTTAATTAATAGCCAAGGTAACTTTTCACATACTTGACTTTTCTAGATCTGTTCCAAATTTGGCCAGTGTAACAAAATTAGAAGAGCTTTTTTTTCCCCTTCCTGCTTTTATTAAATTTTTGAAAGAAAACATGTTTAAAACCAGACACCCAAGCATAACAGAAACTAAGTGAAAGCACTGGTCAAAATATATCACATATTTTTATCTGCAACATTTAAACTCTGAACCAGAGACAGGATATACGTTATCCATAGAGAGTCCATCCACACTTCCACAGTGCTAAAGCTAAGCAACGGCCAACAGAAAGATTCTAACTTAATTAAAAAACACATTTATTCCACATTTTTAAAGGTCTTCTATCTGTAAGGATACAACATTTAAGATTTAGGCTTTTTGAGGTTTGGGGATGCAGGGAGACATGGACAATAAAAAGTGAAGGTCAGACAGCTGAACAAATAGGGTCAAGCAGCATCTCTGAACAATATATACTAAAAATCTGCCCTATATGGAATCCAAAGAAACAAAAAAGATCACATCAACAGTGGCTTGGATGCATCTTGTTCTCAGACGCTGCATGAGGAGCCTGTTCCTTGCCATCTCACTAACTGCTCCCCCTCAAAAATGAAGGAAGATAGCCCCCAAAAAAGAGGCACGGCAGGATTGGGAAGATTTGCCATTTGGACTATTCTCATTACAAATGACAAAAATATTTTTTTTTTAATTAAAAATGAAGAGCCCGGATATTTTGGAGAACCAGAAACAACAGTGAAAGTAATGTATCCTATATTTAAGTTACCTACTTCAAAAGAAATGGTTAAATGCTATTACTAAATAATTTTTTTAACCTGTTAATAAGAATGCTGACATTTCAGAAAAAGCCTTATCACCTCTTCACAGCAACCACCCTACGATGCACTCTTATGTGAAGGACAATCTCTAGCAAACTCTAATGCACCTGGTCTCTAAAAAAAGAAACCTTGTGACGTTTGTATGTAAGGTGCACAGAATCTTCATTTTCTGTGAACTTTACTAACAGATTAATCCCAGAAAACCAGGTACTATCATACTGAGAAGTAGGTACAAAAAACCCAGATAAAGCATATCCAGATTCCACAGGAATGGGTGCATTATAAATACAAGAAAACCAGTAAATATTTCATCTGATATTCAGGAAACAAAGCCACTACTGTGAATAACGCAAAAATAAACTGCATTTGAAGCATGTATGTAAACATTTTCATTAACAGCGATAGCTGTTACAGAGACAAGAGTAAATGGGGCATAATTGATTTGGTTTATTTAATACAAACGAAATTATTAATATCATAAAATGCACCAACTTTTCTCCATTGCACCAGGCAAAGAGGGAACCATCCTTGCTAAAAGCAACAGCTTTGCAATTTTTTCCATAGTCCCTAAAGAAATAAGAAGCGCACATTAGTATTCAAACATACTGCGTAAGTTAAGGTATTTTTAACAAAAAGAAAAAGCAACACACCAATTTTCCTGCTGTGCACTGTTACAAAGTGCTGTGTGGGGGCAATCTACTCTGCAATTGTTCACTGATTATGACCTGGACAATGAGAAGTCAGTCAAGTGTAAAGACTTCAAAACCATCAATTTTCTGAACTACCGACAGTAAGAAAAAATTCACTTATATTTCTACGTTTTTCCAATTTTGGAGTCTACCTTTACTTTTTAGAAAATGATTAATTTTGTGCAGAAGATCAAAAAAAGCGATAATAACAGTACCTTTGAAACGCTGTGCTCTCTGTGAAACTAGGCGGCCCATTCACCATATAAAGCCCTTCAGATCCTCTCACTGGAAGAGTAAGTGAATAACTACTCAGTTCAAATTCAGAAAATTGTCTAAAGCAAAAGCTTTTTCTAATTTATGAACCTTGAGACCTGCACACACTTTTCCCCTGCTTGCATTTTAGAGTAAATGAGAGAGAGGGTTGTAAAGGAAATTCAGAACATAACCCGTGCCGAGACACCTGGCTTTGCCTCACAGGATGACCTCAAACTACAGAAGAGCTGCAGCTGCATAAGGAAGGAGGGTGAGACAACATCTCATCCTGAAATGGCTGATGGTCCTCAGCTCTCAACCCTGCTGTGGGAGGTGCCTTCATGAAGCCTAACTTGTAGAAGCTGAAAGTTCTCCATCGATGCAAGAGCTGACGGGAGTCCTGCACAATGGAGCTGAAAAGGGCTGCCTACATATTCCCCTCCCCAAAGCGAGGATTAGCCGCCTAAACACAGGAAGAGCATTTGCCAAAGAAAGATTGTGTTGGACTGATTTTTTTTGCTGACACGAGACAGGACGTGCCCTATTGTTAGTTTCAACATTGAAGTTCAACTTGGAAAACAGAAGGCATGAAAGAAATATCAAAGTAAAATGTGTTTCAAACTTCTTTTTTTTCAGACACATTGCCATGCTTATGGCACTAGAAAACAAACAAGAAGTAAAGACAGATTCATGCAAAATCATGCAGTTGGAATTGTTACATAGTGAATAAAACAATTTTTTTTCAGGTAGTTCTATTACAAGCTAATTAGAAGTCAAAGTTAAACCACAAAATGGGCAATTGTTACGTAGGCATTAGCTGTGTTTTATGCATGATCTTGGGGTGCCAAAGATGCCAACTGAGGTGACAATTTTTTACTGACCAACACAGCTCAAGAAAGCAAGATCTGTACTAGCTCAAGCTGCAGGTTCTACAGCAGTATTATTTCAAGGAAGCGGTAGGGCCAGCGGTGCACAGGATGTCTCACAGCAGAATGGCAGCACTCTCGCTCAGCTGGGTCAGTCTGCTTGTGAACCACACAATGGAATCCACACGCAGATCCAGCGATGCAACGCCTGGATGGCAGTAACGTCTGCCACCAAACACCCTTACACTGCTTCAGAGCTTCTCTTTTAACTGCCAAGTATCCTTACTTCACCTCTCTCATAGCACTTTAGAAAATAACAAATAAAAAACATTTTAAACAATATTTTATTAAACTGGAGAGAATACTGTTTTGATAGATTTCAAATCTCCACCTGCTCTATAGCCCTGTACTTCACTGGGGGTACACCATACTCCTAGCATCCCTCAAGGGCACATTTTAACAATGCTTTAAGTACGATCCGCTAACTTCGCACCACTGCCTCAAGTCTATTCTCCAGACTCCCAAGAAAAATTAAAATCCAAATTCATAACAGATTATAGACAGTGTCAAGCAGTCCAAAATTCACCCTGAACAGCTGCAGCCCCCCCAATACACCCAAGAGAGAATAAATGCAGACATTTAAAGCTTAGAAACAAAGGAAAGGAAAAATACATATCCCTTATGTCACAGACAACTTAAAAAGTAAAACAGAAAGAAAAGGAAGAAGGACTCTTAAAAAAAAAAAGGCTGTAAAATGCAGTGAAGGTGCTTCAGGCAGCTGTGAGCCCCTGGTAGCTGTTAAGCTGTTTGCAGGAACCCCGCTAGGGTGGTCCCCCCGTCCTGCAGGCCCCTGGGGCTCCCAGCACCCGCTGAGCCCTGGGGAGGCATGGCTGGGCCAACGGGCCTGCCCTGCTCTCACCCAGCCGCCCTGTCTCCTCTGGCACAGCGTCTCCAGGAGCGTTTCACCAGTTACCAGCTGGCCACGCGAGAGAATTAACCCAGAAAAAAAAAAAAAACAAAAACCAAGCTTTAAACCCCATGCTTTTAGGTCCCCGAGCACCTCCCCGCG